TCTAATGACAAAGACATCAGGAGGCAAATAAAGAGAATCCAGTACTTATTTTAGTACCGAGCCCTTGCAATTTAGTGCACTGCAAAAATATTCCTTTCCAGCCTGTTTCTCTCACTTCTTTTCAGTAGGCAGGCCCCGCACCCCAGTTACTATGAAACATGAGAGAAAGTGTGTGGGGAAACAAGAAAGGTGGGAACCAGGGGTCCTGTCTTATGCACGTTGAAGATAAAAACCAGACCTTTTGCCCTCGATCTAATTGCATGTGTCAAAACCCAAAGCTCATTTTTGCTCACAGCTGGGCTCAGCAAAGCCCAGTGCATTCTCCACGATGTGCAATGGTCACGCAGGCGTTAGGTGCCTTATTTGATGCACACAGGCTGCATGGGTGTGAGTCCACAGAGAAACTGCTCCCCTCCCTCTCCCCGGGCTTGGGAGAGGGTCACTAATTATGCAGCCACCGATTCTAGAGAAAAGGAATGTGCAAGCTAGGGCAGGTGTGCAGGTTGGGGGTTAGTAACATGGGCTCCAAGGAGGAGTCACTGAGCAGAGCGCAGTAGCCAGCACTCACAGGCCTGCCACTGAGTCCAAGAACAGTGGACACTGCCCAGTGAAACATTGCCTGGGACTGTGAGGGGATGAGGGACAAGAAGACAACCTTGCAGTCATATGGGGTCTATCCCAATAGAGCCTTCTTCCTGGTAAGGTGGCAGACGCAAGGGGTGGCAGGGCTAGATCCCAGCACTTCAGGTATGCAGGGGAGCTTCTGGCCAGGATGCTGCCAGCTGAATCTGCTCTCATCTCTTGCCTCGAGCTGTGGAGCCCCCATGGCACCTCACCCCTTCCCCTTCATAGAATCATAGAAAATTAGGGTTGGGAGAGACCTCAGGAGGTCATCTAGTCCAACCCCCTGTTCAAAGCAGGACCATCCTCAATTAGATCATCCCAGTCAAGGCTCTGTCTAGCCGGGTCTTGAAGACTTCCAAGGATGGAGTTTCCACCACCTCTCTGGGTAACCTGTTCCAGTGCTTTACTAGCCTCCTCATGAGAGAGTTCTTCCTAATATCTAACCTAAGCTTCCCTTGCCGCAACTTGAGACCATTGCTCCTTGTCCTGTCATCTGCCACCACTGAGAACAGTCTAGCTCCATCTTTTTTTGAACCCCTGTTCAGGTAGTAGAAGGCTGCTATTAAATCCCCCCTCTGTCTTCTCTTCTGCAGACTAAATAAACCCAGTTCCCTCAGTCTTGCCTCATAAGTCATCTGCTCCAGTCCTCTAACCATTTGTTGCCTTCCACTGGACTCTCTCCAAATTGTCCACATCCTTTTCTATAATGGGGGGCCCAAAACTGGACACAATACTCCAGATGTGGCCTCACCAGTGCTGAATAGAGAGGAATAATTCCATTAACCTACTGGCAACACTCCTACTAATGCAGCCCAGTATGCTATTAGCCTTCTTGGCAACAAGAGCACACTGCTGACTCATATCCAGCTTATTGTCCAGTGTAACCCCCAGGTCCTTTTCTGCAGAGCTGCTGCTTAGCCAGTCAGTCCCCAACCTGTAGTAGTGCATGGGATTCTTCCATCCTAAGTGCAAGACTTGGCATTTGTCCTTGTTGAACCTCATGAGATGTCTTTTGGCCCAATCCTTCAATTTGTTTAGGTCACTCTGAATCCTAGCTCTACCCTCCAGCGCATCTACTACTCCCCTCAGCTTGGTGTCATCTGCAAACTTGCTGAAGATGAACTCCATCCCATCTTCCAGATCATTAATGAAGATATTGAACAAAACCAGCCCCAGGACTGACCCCTGGGGCACTCCACTTAATACCGGCTGCCAACTAGGCATCGAGTCATTGATCGCTACTCATTGAGCCCAGTGATCCAGCCAGCTTTCTATCTACTTTACAGTCCATTTATCTAACCCATACTTCCTTGGCTGGCTTGCAATAATGCTGTGGGAGACAGTATCAAAAGCCTTGCTAAAGTCAAAGTATATCACATCTACTGTTTTTTGCACGTCCAGAGTGTGGCATTGCAGTAGGGGACACTACTATGCAGAGCCACCCACCTCACTGTGCCAGGCCCAAAACCATGGTTCAGGAGTCCCCCTGGGGGAGCCTATGGCTGACCATCCCCCTTCCTAGAGAAGACCAGCAAGCCTGGGGTAATGCTGCCACCACCCGGGCACTGGTCTCAGTTAGGGCTCTGTGCAGCCCAGGGTACACAGACCCTCCAAGCCTTGGGACTGCTTTTGCCTAACGGTGATATTTCAGGGGGCTTCTTCCCACCTGAAGCACCCAAAGATAGCCTCCGGCACTAGAAGAAAATAGAAAGCCAAGCCCAATGTAGCTGGCCCAGCCAAGGGAGCAATTAAGGCCTCTCTCTCCACTCAGGAATTCACAGCCAGTTACGCTGTAACCTGATACCGTTACTGATCGGGGGATGAGAGTGGGGAGTAGAACACAGGAGTCAGAAATACACTTTGAGCAAACCAAAATAAGTTAAGCCCTACAAATCTTGGGTTGGGGACCCTTTTAATATGCATCTGAATTACTTAGTTCTAATCAGCAAGGGCATTCAGCAATGCCTGAGGACTAAAAGGGGGGTGTACAACCAGTGGAAAGGAGGAGCTATCACCAAGGAGAAGTACTCCTCCTTGGCCTGTGAGTGTAGGAGGGATATTAGGAAGGCTAAGGTAGAGATGGAACTCAGGCTAGCGTCCAGGATTAAGGACAACAAAAAGTCCTTTTTCAAGTACATTGGGAGCAAGAAGAGGGCACCAGGCAATGTAGGGCCCCTGCAAGATGCAAACAGTAATGTTGTGGCTACGCCAGACAAGAAAGCTGATATTTTTAACAGTTTCTTTGCCTCTGTTTTCTTGAACAGGGACCGGGATATCCCACCTACCAGAGGTAGGGACAATCTCGGGGATAGCTCTGACAGGCCTTGGGTCAGCGCAGAGGTAGTTAGGGATCTTCTGGAAGGGCTAGACATTTTTAAATCTGCAGGTCCAGATGACCTGCACCCAAGAGTGTTGAGGGAACTGGCAGGGGTCATCGCGGAGCCCTTGGCCTGGCTGTATAAGCATTCGTGGTCATCTGGTCAGGTGCCGAAGGATTGGAAACTGACTAATGTGGTCCCAATTTTCGAGAAAGGGAGGAAGGAGGACCCAAGTAACTATAGGCCCGTAAGCCTCACCTTGGTGCTCAGGAAGATCTTGGAGAGAATCATCAAGGAGCA